CAAATTGTATTATTCTTCACCATGCGACCGGACGTTCACTACCTCAGCTTCAACCGATGACCGCCCAAGGTTGCGCGTCGTCGGCCACGAACTTATTAAAAAGTTATATATAATGATTGACAACAAAACACCTCTTTCCAGTTCATCACTGTATAGTACAAAACACTTTTATTCCAATAGAAATAAGGCACTTTAAAATGGGCACTCTACAGTTACAGTTAAAAGAGGCACAAAATTGGCAAATAATATTCCGCTCAGTCAGTAAGAGGGCACACGGCGAGACTACAAGCAGTAAAACAAGATCGGCAGTTAACTATTGCTAGGGAGATCAGCTGCAACTTCTCAGATATCGGCTAGCAGGACTGTCTCTCTCTCTCTCTCTCTCTCTCCTGAAAGGAATCGCTCTCTTCACCTATCTTTGAGACAAATCTTCCCTGAAAGGGTCGGAAGTCAAATTTGTTATCCAACCGGCTTCGCTAAAAATCCATTCATGTATAATTTATCTCTAAGCCTAAATAAATTGAAATGAGTAAAAAAGTATAAAAAGACCGTGAACGATTTTCATTCGTTCACAACCATAATTAAAAAAGTCCTCATTTAAATTAAATTTACTAACTAAAATGTTAGAAAAAGAGTGATATGTTGGAAAAAGAGTGAAAAAAGTATGCATAAGTGTCGAGGAATATAAAATATCTCAATTATATATCCAATTAATTTGAATAGCATTGTTTATGGGTTTCAAGTTATGGAAACGCTAAAAATATCAATGCTTCAACATTGGTTTTCACGCGAATTTTGTAAGTCAGGGGCTAACCTGTTTAATTTTTGCTCTGATATCTTCGCAAAATGTTCCACAATGCATTTTATTTCTGTTTCAACATTACAAAGCACGACTGACTGCATTTTTTCAAACGATGGTAATAGCTCCTCATTTATTTTGTTGCATTGAATCCTGAATAAAACATTTTTGGCTGTAATAACTTTTGAGTGGTGGGCGTATCCACGATACTTCGCTACCCCATGTAAAACGTCGCCGTGAATTCGTCTCGCCTCAATTTCTGTGCTCTTCGGTTTGGCTGCTACTCGCGGGGGCTTGGAAGTGATCGGACGACTCGCTTCGCTACGAAAAAGGCAGCTTGCCGACTGCCTGCTGCTGTTCTCCAGGCCAAGGAGCTATTCGGGAACTGCAGCGTTGAGGAAGCCTTCTCCCACTCCCAGTGGCTGCATTTGTGCATTGCAGTCCGTTGTACGGGGAGGCGTCGTTCGCATCATCTTTCTTGCCCCGATTGCAGTTCGGTTAGCACGCCGCTGGTATGGTACCTTTAGTGTAGCCGCTGTTATGGTACTACTAGCCGCTGTTATGGTACTACTTCACTCTACTAGTCTTTTTGAAAATTTGAACTAATGAATGAGCTGGTCTCTGACATGTTTTCGATGAAATAATGACGAATTTGCTCAGGATCTATATATGCATTTCAAGTTAAAAAAACTCAGCTTCAATAGAAATGTTTCGTTTAATGTTTGAAAAAAAAAACAGTATTTAAGTTTTTCGAACAGGAAGTAAAGCTCCGGACTACGGCTTCCTCCTCAGGCGATCCAGTTTCCATATTAGCTTTAGTGACAAATTTCCTGGTAAAGCGTAGAAGACGAGGTGCCTTCAACAATGGCTGATAAATACATACAAATTTCATTGTTCCCTTTTACAAGCTCAATTACCGACTCCATGTAAATAAAGTACTAAAAATCGAATTACTTTCGACATTAGTTAAAGAGTAAATTTATTAGTACTTTATTTACATGGAGACGGTAATTGAGCTAGAAGTGTTGTTGTAGACTGTAGAGCTAGAAGTGTTTTATAAAAAATTTTATATATTAAAAAATTGAAAAATTAATTTTCTTAATTAATATCCGAAAATACAATTAGAAATTCATTGTACATCTGTGACATTGGAAACACTGGATTCATTAGAAGTGTTGTCTTTAAAAAGTAATTTTTAAACGTATATTATTCCTTCATAACTCTTTTTTTTCTGAATGGATAGTTTGATAAAAACTCACAGCTCTTTTTAAACCTTCATAGATAAGCTGCTGCGAGATGCAATCAGTTGCAATCTCGTAGTAAGCATTAAAAAATATAGATATTTATCAACAACTAGCCTAACTAGTGCAAGCTGCTATTATTCGGATGTATGAACACAAATACTGAACACTTCATTAAGAATTTACTTCATAAAAATTGTCAAGGAGTAACTGAGTTATCACGATACACGAATGCACATGCAATGCAAGTGGTTCGACTAGAGTCTAGACGGATTCGTTCACACCAAGTGGATAGTGAAATAAATTAGATGGAGACAAAATTCATAAAGATGTGGGTGAAATGGGCACAGTAGTGCGATACTCTTTCAAATCGTAGCCGAATTGATTTGTTGCACTCCAGATGTGGAGAAATTGACATCAAATATTTATACACACTTGGAAAAAATCCCGTACAGTAATTATAATTGTCAAAAAATTCTAATGGATATTTAACGAACGTTTCTCTACAGTAGATATTGATTAGCAGGATTCATGCCGGATTTCACATCATCAAGGTATTCGTCAAATTCGAATAATTTTTCTTCATTAAACCGCTTCAGGCTCATATTTAACACCGTTCAGAATCGGACTTATAAACAAGCCAATGAATGGGAATGATGGTGGTGGTGACGAACGAAAATTGTTATAGAATATTAGATGCGTTTCCTGAAACACATCAAACATTTTAAACATTTGCTCCTAGCAACCATTTTTGTTAATCAAGTCAAGCTAAATTAAATAATATAATAATATCAATATGTGGTTTGCCGATTAGCAATGAACTATCAGATCGTCCGTCCATCTCAAAGACTGCCTTGGCAAAGAGAAGTATCTACATATATGACTTATTTTGTTACCCATCAAAAAGTTGCATTCTCTGGGATTATCTTTGTGCTATCGACCGAACGTCCTCCCGCTATTACGATTAGCATGTAGGCTGCCGCGCAAGGCCAACCTGTACACTGTGCTTAGGTAATAGATTTTGTGAGAAATTGTTTATATATATTTCAGATAACTTTTCAAGAGCTGTGCACCACATGTTACACGGCGATGCGTAATCAGCAGGTTCAGAAAATGAAGCCCTTAGCCCCAATCCTGATTACATGCAAAACAAACGGAAGTCGTCACCGTGGAGCAATGTATCACCAGCTGTTTGAACAACTTTAACTAATGTCATAAATTTAACGTTGATAAAAGTTAAAGAGAAGTGTTGTAAAAAAAATCGAATTACTTTCGACATTATTTAATTCTAGTAATAAATCTCTGACCTCTAAACTATAAGTTTTAAACATAAAAATGCTCACTAAACCCTATTAATCACCCAGGAGGAGGGACGAAGCCACGAAAATTGTTTCCATGCTTAAGATAGGGAATTTGTTGAGCAAGGATAAGTAGGTGTAGGTAGGTGTAGGTAGAACGCCACTTTATCGTCAGCTTTGTTCTATATTTTGATAGGCTTGTATGATGTATATCATACGGTAAGAAAAACTCATCTACTATGGGAAAATGGACATAAATTTAACGTTAATTTTTCGTTATTACCACGTTTTTCTTAGCTCACTTTCGTGTCTGTGATGATCAAATCTTGCAATCGATATTTCACCAACTTTCCCATTAGCTAGCGCTCTGAAACTTTTAGGGAAGCTCAGCTCCCGATAACAATACAATAATCAATAATTTGTTGCACGTTTCCAGGCGTATTCAAACAGAGATCAGTAGCTGCCGAAAAATTATTTTCTACTTTTGAGTCCACATGAAAAACGTGGTCTTTAAAAATTTTTTATACATTTTTTTTAAAAAGTAAAGCACAATATGACAGAAGACGTCGAAGAATCACGACGGAAAGTTCCTATTGAATGCATGCCTATGTAAAGCTAGTTAACATCATAAGCGAAAGCAAAATATACCTGAAATAAATAACTACATCATTTTAAAAACAAGCTCTAATGGAAGCAGTAACATCAAGTCTCTACATAGGACAGGGGTCGGCAACGTGGTTCATATCTACCTCCTAGATGTCAAAGACAGACTCAAAAGGGCAATAATTTTATAAGGGTCTAAATGGGGCCGAGAAAAGAAAATAAAAATAATCGTTAAGACTTTTCAAGACCTTGCATACAAAATATAGTTTTTGATTTAAAACAATATTTCTGTCGGATTTTAATCTACAAAATCAAATGACAAATTTCTATATAAATAAAAAAATGAAAAGACTAATCAATCCTAAAATCTATATGCTCAATATAACTGCACAATATTTTGGCTCGTGCAATACGCTGCAAATTCTCCACGCGACAAAATTTCTTCTCGCTTCGAATCACCGACATGTGGAACAGCCTCCCCGATGACATCGTTGGCGCTCCAGGTATGAACGCGTTCAAGAACAGACTAGATAAAGCTATGGAAAAATATATGTTCAGATTTGAAATGCCTAGCTCCTTATCGAACCCGGTGGAAGTCTAGTAGCTGCTTCAAACTATCGCCAGTCATGAAAAGATCCGGTCAAATGACACGAGTTTAGATCTATGAACAAGGCACGAAAAGGAAAACAATCGGCGACAGGCCACATCAGGCCTACACTTCAGCGCCGACATCACTATGTTATGTTATGATTTAGCGTTTAGGAGCGATATTGACGGATTGCGCAATATATTGCGTGATTTTTACATGCAATTAATTCAGAACTACGCAGCAATTCTGCTAACGCACGCAGTTTGTATTTGTGTAGTTTGAAAATGGCGAATCAGATGAGCATTGTTTTATTTATTTAGGAGGTTATTACTCATTGGAATATGTTGACAGGAAAAATATTACTTAGGAACTTAACTCTCAATCGAAAGGAGACGCTTCCTGATTATTCATTTGTCAAAAACTTTATTTCAGTTAATAAAAGTGGCAACAGTCTGATTCGCACAGCGACCGGCACCGGCCACAGGCGGCACTTTTAGTTTAGGACCAGCAGAGCACGTAGCTACCTTGAAACGTTTCGGAAGCTGCTGTGAAGTTGTGAACTGCTGCATGTTTCGAACTATCAAATAGATGTTAGTGGTTGTTGTGTTGGTATAAAAGGATGTTAATTGTGTGTCCTCAATTACTGGTATCTTTTTGACATTTGTTTATGATGTATCAAAGTGACGAAAACTGCGAATCTGGAGGTGAAGACCAGCTTGATGATGGCATTGACAGGGTTAGTGATGAAATTGAAGGTGGTGCTGATGGCAATGAGGATCCAATTTACAACGGTAGTTGTGACAATGCCAGCGTTGCAGATGGTGAGCAAGATGATAGTAATTCTCAAGCAGATTTCTGTGACTCCAATGAAAGAAATGATGACGCTACAAATTTCGAGGGAAATAATCAATCCATCTTCCGAGGCAGCAACAAACGAGGGAAAAACAGAAAGAACAGAGGTCGCGGGAGAGGAGGAAGGGGCAATTTTCACAACGACAGTAACAAGTTCACTAACTCTATCAAGACTGAAGTTGGAGTTGATTTAGGCAATCGAGATTCGCAATTGAACACCGATTGCGATTCATTCTACAATCGAGAGCAAGTTTTGAAACTAGAAAATGAATGCATCTTGGGTGGAAAGCATGAGCAAAAAAATCCAGCTCAATCTTTTAGACCAGCCTCTTGGAACAAGTTACTATTATTTGGCAATCTATGCAACAAGAAGTAAGTTTATGTGCCTAAAGTTTGTATTATACCATCACCACCACCTTTTGAATTATTATAATAAATTTTTTTTGTTCCATGAATTTTTATACAGAAATTCAAGTACGATCTTTCAAAAAAAAATGGACAACCCTTGTATTGTTCCTATAGCTAATCCTATTTATTAGTGATTGTCTTCCATTTTGCTATAAAAACAAAATTTTTTTGAGAAAATTCTTTTGAAAGTGAAATTGAAATTTGATTCTCCATGCAACATTCTTAGTTTTGATTGAATAAAATTGAAGTTTCATTTAATAATTTGAATTTTCATTCATCAAAATATATCATAATTAAAATTCAACATGAAATATAATTTCAGATTAGACAAAATGCCTTTAATTACCTATTTATAGGTTAATTATATTACTTTAAAAGAAAAGGATATAGGGCTTAATATTGATTGTGAGCTTGTTTAGTGACAATGTATATATACCTGGTCACCTGATTGACACTTGTTGACTTGACAGCATGTTCAATTTTTAACACGTTTTTCTTAACTTAGCTTCGTGTTTGTTTGTTTGTGGATTTGCTTGTTGTTGAAATTGACTACAAAAATTAGCCCACTTCTGATTGCTCTAGTGATCTGAAATTCTGCATGCAGGCTATTTTTGCCTAACATTTTCAAATGCAATCATAAAAACTAGCAATTGAGACCTAAATTAGCTTAATTGAGTAAAGTATATATATATATATATAGTATATATATATATAGTATATATATAGTATGACGTGCGGGTGCTGACGTTATAGACGAGCAGGCGCTGACGCTGCGTGTCGCTGCGTATCATTCATCGATACGTACGTCAAGTCATACTTAATTCATTAGATATAGTAGAAAATCTAAAATATATTTTTATATATATAATATAAATATATATATTTTTTATATATAATATAAAAACTTTTTACAAACGTTTTCATGTGTAGCAACGGACTAAAAAGGAGAAAATAAAATACTCAATAAAAAGTTAGAAACTTTTTAAAAAATCACATTTTTCTTGTGGACTAAGAAGTAGAAAATAAATTATGGCTCTCCCCAAAAAAGGTGGGTTGGGCTGTACGTTCACCATCAAATTTCCAAAATTCGTGTGTTGTGTGCTTTTCGCTTTACATAATTATAAATCTGCCTGACACGCGTTTCTTGGGGCGAGCCATAATTTATTTTCTACTTCTTAGTCCACAAGAAAAACATGTTTTTTTTTAAAGTTTGTTTCAAGTATTTTATTTGAACTGGTATGGGATTAGGGGGATCCATAATATAGGGCTTATAGGCCATATTGATATTGTAACTTTTTTGAAATTGGAGGACCTGAAACTAGACCTCCTTAAAGTTATGCAACTAAAATTGGGCAATATTTTAAATTGAAGTCAGTTACCAAGATTGATCTTGGATTTCTTAAACATCAATTTTGTGTGGACTAGAAATCACATTGTAATGAAAGCCTTTCAATGTCACATATGCAACCCTAAAATTGAATATACATGGAATGCATTATAAAACCAGTCGAAACAAGAAGCTGAATAGCAGGTGGCTGAACTAGGATCAAGTTACTTGGACAGTTGGGCATTAGTTTTAAAACTTATTTATATATTTTTTTTTATGTCACCTGGAAAATACTTTGGTCTTTTTCTAGGAATTTTAAGAAATAGACTTAGCGCTTTGTACCAAAATGTGCAAATTTTTCTACTTTGCCACATGCTTCCTAATTTTCAGGCTTGGACTGCTAGAGATTGCTGGCAAACTTTTTTGACTGGAAAGCTAAATTTTGCAAAATTGTAAGAAAACCTTGAAAAAATTGGATTAATAAAAGCCTTAAAGTTTGAATCATTGTCAAACTCATTTAATGAACTTATGAGATGGTCAATGTGAAAATTTAACATCAAAAATATAGTTACAATATATATTTAGTAAATAGATAGATACATAGTCTGTGAATATCATTGAAAACTAAATAATTTTTAGAACAAAAAATATTTTGTCTACTTTTAAATATAATGTGTGTGTGTGTGAATTACATTAATATTATTGTTGTCAATAATATTAAACACACCATTTATATAGGGCCAATGTAAGATAATTTATGTGTGATATTATGAATTTTCATTATTCAGTAATATTGTGATAGATTTGACAGGAGTGTCACAAAAATGTAGACAAACTTGTATATGAATGACACCAAATGGACTTTGGTATGAAGAAGATATATGGTGATTGGTGGTCACCTTTTTTATTTCAAATTATGATGTGTTTTACATGACTATAGAACAGTTAGAGGATTTATTTGTAATATCATTACATAATTAGTGATTTTTTAGCAAATCAAATTGTAGAGGTTTCTTTTATGAAGTACTGCAATACATTTATTTGGCTCCTGAAAAAAATCGTACGTATGTGTATATAATTTAACGAACTTTGCTAACACACTGTTAAGTGAAAAATAATATGGATCCCAATATACGTATTGGTAATACAAGTTTTGATTTCATAATGTGCTCAGTGAACATTTTTAAATTTATTATTTTTTTTTTTTTGTAACCCAATGGGGTGGTTTTGGAAGAGATTTTGATTTAATTAGGTAACAAGTGGCAATGCAAGCCTAGAAATTTTTAATACAAACAGTAGTGAAAGGCTCTTATTTTCATGAAAGTTTCAAAGTGCTAAGTTTACTCTTCCAAAAGTTCTGAGAAGCAACTTTGGTGTTTTTCTTGAGGACAATTCAATGTTTTCCAAAGGCATTTAATTTATGATCCTATTCAACTCATCTTATATTTGTTCATCAACAACAATAACATCAATAATGAATTCTGTATGACTGCATTTGAAATTCAAGAGCATTTTGGTTATACTGGCTCATGCAAATCTTAATGCCAGTAAATTGATCTCACTGCTTATTTATTCATGCCATCTTTGAATCGTCTTCTTGTAGAGCTCCTGCTGAGAATTCTCAGTTTGGCAAGAACCCTAACAATAATAACAAGGGTGGTAATAACAAGGGCAATAATCAGCCAAATGGAAACAACAATAATAATAACAACAACAAGGGTGGAGGTGACCTGAAAGGGGATGCATTTTCATGGCACATGAAGCATCTGTGCTACAGCATTGGGCTGCTGAAGCACAGCAACGGCCCTGGCTACACTCTCGAGTCCCTGTGCCTGCAGTTCCATTACAGGTTCCTGGTGTTCTTCTTCTGCATCTGCTACTTCATTGTGATGTGAGTACAGTGATTATAAGGCATCTGCTACTTCATGTTGACATGAGTACAGTGATATAATGCATCTGCTATTTTGTTGTGATGCAAGTTCAGTGGTTATATACCATGTCAGTTGTTTCTTGGTGATGCATGTACCTGGTAACTACTGTGTCTGCCACTCAATCACAATATGCCCATAGTAATTACTGTGTCATTCATTTGTTGCACAAGTGCAGCAATTATTGGCAGTCATTTCTTTTTGAGTAGCACAGATCTGCATGTCACTTCACTTTGATGTGAGTAGAATGAGCATAACATGTCTGCATCTGCTTCTCTATTGTGTTGTAAGTAGGTAGACTTCAATTTATTGGTTCCTACTTCTTACCTATTAGATGATGATTTTGAAATTTATGCTTCTCTTCCTGTTATTGATGTGTGATGAGATTTTCATGATAGGAAACTCAAATTGTTCCCAGCATTGTTTCCTGATTGTCTGGAAAATATGTAAATTTTTTTGCTAATTATACGTTTTTTCTATGCAGGTTGAACTGGTTTGTGAATGAAAAAATAGTGTGCTACGAGCTTCAAAGACCTGATAAGCCATATATACCTAAAGGACATTCCAGCAATGTGTGCCTATCATATCCATATATTGAGGTAAGGTAATGCTATTAATTGCTATTGCCTGGCTATTCTGATAACATTTTAGAAATTAGATTAATTATTTTCCCGAAACTGGACCATAATGCATTATGTGGTGCATGATTGTACCCTTATTATAGTACCTTTATTATGAGTAAACACATGTGATCAATTACCAGTGAATTGATTGATTTAGATTTTCATGGTCAAACTATTCATCAGATGGCATTGGTTGATCAAAAGGCAGGTTTAAAGAATGATTCTAATTGTTTAACAACATTTTGAATGCCACAACATTCATTTTCAAGTCATAGGAGGCATTGTATTATTTAATTTTGATGCAAATAAGTACAATATACAAGTATGAAAAATAGAACATAGAAATTTGCAACCAGACCAGGGTTTAAAGTATTACAATCAAGCAACATCATTTCAAGATCCATGATGAATTCAACAGGCTATATGTAGCCCTTGACAATGTCATATCTTAAAGTCCAAACTATACATAGCCATAGCCCCTGCATAAAAGCAGAAGTTCACCAAGAGGCATATGTAGTCTATAAATTTTGCTTCAAAGAAGATTGTAGACATCATCATTTGGACTACATTGGAGTAAATGGAGTAACTACTGCAACATTGAGCAGCTGTTAATCTTGCCACTTGAGACAAGCTTGCTATCAGACCAGGTCTCAATGTATTGCAATCAAGCAACTTCATCTCAAGATTTACAATGAATTCAACAGGCTCTGTGACACCCCAAATAACATGGTCAAACCTAAACTATACCCAGCAACAGTCCTTCGAAAAAGTAGGAGTTCTCCAAGAGTCGGGTGCTGTCTATAAATTTTTCCTCAAAGAAGGTTATAGTCTTCATCATTATTTGGACTATATTAGAGTAATTGGAGTAACAAGTACGTTTATTGAGCAACAGGCTCGGTGACACTCTCGATAGCGTCAAACTTAGCGAGACGCACTTGCACTGTGCTGGAGGAACCCAACAGCACCGTCATCATGCAGTGGCCTTACATTATCTGAACGATGATAGCTGAAGCCTTCATTTCTACCTATTGGACTCCAGCTGTCTATCCCATAATAAATGCATTTTCAGAACACGAAAATGAATGTTGTTACATAAAAAACGTAACTAATAAATTAAAAATACTTCCTCAAACCTGCTTTTCAATCAACCAACATCATCTGAAGAGTAATTTGACCCTGAAAATCTAAATCAATGAGCTCAGTGGCCATTAATCATATGTGTTTGAACATGTTTATTCTACCATCTACTACTAATTTATTATGAGTAAATAGACAATGGGAGACTGGGAAATCAGTGACAAGCTTCAGTGGCTTTTCACTGAAGCCACTGATTTCAGTGGCCAAGCTGCAGTGGCTTCAGTGAAAAATCAGTGGCTTTTATTAATCCAATTTTTTTCCTTCAACATTTTCCCTTTTTGAACTGGTTTGTTACTGGCTCCTGATCAGTAGAAATTTTCTGCGTATGAAGTCAACTCAGAAGTTGCAATATTGAGCAAAATCTAATGTTTTCATTTATTTATTTTTTTTAATATTATAGATAAAACATTTAAATTCTTGAGTGGGTAGGGGAAAAATGAATATCCTCTTCTAAAAATTAATAAATAAAGCAAAAAAGCAGCCCTAGAGTTGACTTGTATTGTGCATCTAATGCATTTTTTTACACAATCCTCCTTTTACGTTTTTTCACATTTCATGTTTTCTTACTTTTTCTCACAAAAATTATACAAACCATATATGCTAGTTAGTGCTTTATATGTATGTATAAATGTGTGTACAAAGTTTAAGATATATTCCTGAATTTATGAATAAATTTGTTTTTCACCCAAATGTTCCCTTTAATTCACTACAATGTTGTCATTTCAAATTTTATCAGTCTTGGTTAATGCATCTTGAACTAATTTTGTACAATTTTGACTAGAGGTTTTGGCATGTTGTTGGTCCAAACCGTCCAACACATGGGAATTACAGTACCATGATGAAATTTAACCTTTTGATGGTGCTTGAACTTGGTTGAACATCTAACTTGTAAGTGATTCTTTACTATTTTTTGTAAAGCACTCAGTGCATTGATATCAAGAATAAGCCAGCCTTATCATGTAAATATGTATGTATAATAGATGGGTTGCCTGTGAATCTTGTATCCTATTTATAAGCAGGGTGCGTAGCGGTCATGGAAAACCTGGTAAGTCATGGAATTTGATTTTTCATTTTCCAGGCCTGGAAAGTCATTGGATTTCATTTCAGGTCATGGAAAATCATGGAACAAAAGGAGTTTTGATTTCCCTCAATGTTTGATGTTGGTTATATAGCCAGGACAGCGATAAAAAAAACAGCTTGCAGACAAGAAGGCAAGTGCACTGCAAGTTCTCACTTTCAATACACAAGCGCAGGACTTCATGCAGGCTGTAGTACAAAAGCCACTGGACAAGAGCCCTATCAGGTACTGCCCTGGTAGGAACCTGAAATGGCTGGTGCCAGAAGTCTTCATCAAGAAGGACTGTGAGGAAGCCAAAAAGACTCATTTGAAGAACTGTCTGACTATGCTTGTTGATGCCAAGAGATTCCCTAATACAGATGTGGATGGCGTTGTGCGATGAGATGTGCAACTTTAGAGATGAATCACAACATTGCAGTGAACTGAACGCACAGTTTCAAGCATTTTCAACTTCTAATCAACTGGACATTTTTTAGCATGCCATTCTGTCAAAGAGCACCTACAAGAAGCTCTGGAATGTAGTGCAGATGTTCGTGCTCCTGTCTCATGTCCAAGCCACGGTTGAAATAGGGTTTTTTTTCAACAATGAAATCATGACAAACAACACGAAAGATGCTGCTTGCAGCTGGCAGTGCCAAAACAGCCTTTAATACTTATTTGGCAGAAGAGAAAAAGCAGAATGCGAAGGCCCAGAAAACCCAGAAGAGAAAGGATTTGTTGGATGAGCTAGATGAACTGAAGAAGAAGAAAAGGCGTACAGAGGAGGGCATTAAGGCGCTTGAGCAAGCAGCAGATGAATATGCAGAAGCAATGGAGAGAAAGGGCATTTCAGAATTATCGCAAAGTTCAACGCAATGAGGCGATCTTTGAAAACAAAGCTAGACACTCTTGAACTGAACATTAAAGAAAAAGTTGAAATAGCTGCCAGTTGAATGTTAGGGTAGTGGTGTTGGAGTGTTGGGAACTGTATTGACATTATCATGTACAATCTTGTGTGTATTACTCAATATTTGAACTGTGATCTGACAATTGAATGACACCAGTCAAATCAAGTACACCAGTGTGTACTTGATTTTCAGATGTGTGTCATTTTTGTTCCTCTGTGTCTGCCTGCTCTATGCATTTACAGTTTTACACGTTTGCTATTCATCAACTGTAGGAGATGATAGAATATGCACGTTTAGTCTTTGTCATGCTAATCCTGTCGTATACGAGTCTTGGAAAATTATATTGATGGCCATGGAGAGTCATGGAAAGGTCATGGAATTTTTTTTTCTAAATACCACTATGCACCCTGTATAAGTGCTTATGTATTAAAAAAATTAAACAACCAATGTCAGAATTATTAGGGAGTATTCAATTCATTATTTAGTCTTGTTTATGGACTCAGTGGACTTCTTATGAATTCCTGGATGCTTAGAATGCTGCTCACTTTTCAATAATAAAGGAAGTTCTATCTTAGCCTGCTTGCCCCAAGTCGATCAAATTGAGTACCACATCCTCTACTATCCTGCTGAGGTTCAGTGGAGCTAGAGAATGTTTTTCTGTCAAAGAATCTTGGAACGAGCTGCTCATTGGTGATTTGTGAGGAAGAAAAGATAACAGGTTCCTTTGTATTGATGTTTGTTCTTCAGCAGTAGTTGACATTTCCACTGGTAGACACCAAGATGACTAAACCAAACTATTCCTGTCAATCAGCTTGGTACAGAGCAGAAACCATTACAGACCATAAAGGCATTTGATATCTCAATGAAATAAATAGGTCACACAAGGCGTTAATAGCATGTAATATCTGGAAATCTAGGTACTGCATAAGCCTTAGCTTGATATCCCAGAAACTAATGATTGCTATCTTATTTCATAAACAATATCTGTAAGCATTATACGTAACCTAGATAAGTGATGCAGAGAACCGACTTTTGTTATTATTTTAATTATAGGTTGATAAGCTAACCTTGCTAATATCCTTCAAATTTGCTATCCAGCTGAGAAGAACAATGCAGGACAGAAATATGTTACTGTTAACCTAAAAGTGAGAACATACCTAGTGAAGCTACTATATGTGAACATGATTGAAATGTAAAAGTATTACCTTTAAATAATATTGCTACCTACAAGTAAAAATAATATATAAGCTAAGCTACTATATGTGTACATGGTAGAAATATAGAACTATTACGAATAATATTGCAGGCATATAACTCATAGTTTTATTTGCAGGTGGAAAATAAGCATCGGCGATATCTGCTCTTCTACCGCTGGGTGCCCTACAGCTTCCTGCTGGTGGCGGCGCTGTTCTACACATTGAGGGCAGGACTGGTCAAGAAGTGGGAGGACACACGACTGGCCGCGCTCTACAAGGATGTCTGGAATGAGCGGTGCAAGTGAGTCGTGCTCTCCAGCGTTGGTAACAATGAGTTCAATGCTATTTATGCTTTTCAGATAACCGCGTAACATGATCAATCAACCTTTTATTAATAACTTTCCGTGTCTTGGTTATATCTATAATACAATCTGTATTACCTGAACCTGTGTGTTGGAATTGGATAATTTTGTCGGTGTTCTGTTTGGTGCTTTACCCCTTCCCTCTTTCACTGCCGAATTCCACTGCCGAAATGAAAAGTTTTCTCATCGTACAATTTCGAGCATTTTGTTACCAAAAATAAGTCTTTCACGTGGTTCTATGACAATTACCCGACAAGGACGGCGAAGGACCTGACTGATATTGGTTGGCTGGCAAGAAAATTACTAATATTTATCTGCAACAATACATCTTCATTGGACCGCTGGCAACTCAGCACTGGTAGCGTGTTTCATTTGTGAAGTTCCTGCCTCCAGTAGAAGCATTGATTTGACCTGATGCTATACTCGAGCAACTTGATGCTGCTTGGGTAATTGGTTACAACCTGATGCTGCTTGGGTAATTGGTTACAACCTGATGCTGCTTGGGTAATTGGTTACAACCTGATGCTGCTTGGGTAATTGATTACAACCTGATGCTGCTTGGGTAATTGGTTACAACCTGATACTGCTTGGGTAATTGGTTACAACCTGATGCTGCTTGGGTAATTGGTTACAACCTGATGCTGCTTGGATAATTGGTTACAACCTGATGCTGCTCTATGAGGTCTGCTAATGTCGTTAGTAACTCACTGAAGACTTAAGAGTCGTTGAGAGTATCGGAGTTAGCGCCCCTCTTGATTTTTTATGAAGGAAATGATACTGAATTGTGGGAAAAATGTATTCCTTCTTGAAAAAATTTTTTACATTTCATTCAGTTTTAATAATACGTCACTTTAGGCACTTGAGTTAATAGGCTGCAAAATAATCCATTAAAATAACCGCCATTTGATTTTCTCACAGATGAAGAATTAAGAAGTTTCGCATTTTCGTTTATAATTTGCTGGTATCTTTCTGTCTCGCTCTTAGTTTTCGTAGGTATCTAGTTCTTCTACGTCATTGCCACTTACTACACAGGCATTGAGTGCAACTATACAATTTCATAGACTAACTTCTTTTATTCGTGCTATTAAATGGCGTGAAAGGATATTTAATAATTTGTAATTATCCTAATTTTGTACATTTCAGTTATTTGACTGAAAAATGGGAGGGGACCAACAACCTAGTGGTTCAGTTTCTGCGGACTGGACAGTCGGTATCAAGCCATTACGTTCGCTGGATTTTGTGCCATGTCTTCGCTAACCTCGTCGACCTTGTGGCTGTCCTTGTTTTCCAATTCGTCCTACAGGTAAACAATATATTCCCATACTCAAAACTGATTCCATGTTCTTGCTCTTGGTTAACTTGTTGCTAATAAGAAATAGTTGCTATCGAAAATTGATCATCTGCTGCTGCCTCTAAGAAAGTGTCGCTCTTGACTCAACTCTATTTGCAGGGCGAATTCGTGTCGCTTGTGCCCAATGTGCTCCATGGCCTCGAGCGCAACCCCGCGAACTTCACTGATAAGCTATCCACTATCTTCCCACCCTTTGCCGAGTGCCAGATCAGTGCGGCTCACAAAATAGTTGATGGATATGTGATCAACTTTGGCTGTCATTTAACCCACATGGAGCTCTACGAGAAGATTTTTATCATTACATGGTTAGTGCTTGCCCTGCACTGGCTGTGGAGCTTTGCCATGGTTATATGGCTCAGTATTGGTATGGTGCCGTTCTTCGGTAAGTTCACTTGTGTCGTCACAGGTCGTCTTATCAACAGGAAGTCCGCAGCTATCATGGTGAAGGCTGTCAGAGTCTGTTCTATGGGAGACGTGCACGTGTTGTATCTCGTCAAGAAATGGATGAGTAACGCTCAGTTCGAGCAGCTACTCAAGGCTGTGGTCAACAGCAAAGAAGAAGAACTGCGCAAGCATGGCTGCCTGGGATCACCTCGCTGTTACTGTTCACGCGTTACTACATTGCAAGTGGAAGAGCCTGGGAGTCAAGCGTATAAGCATGAGGGCAGGACTGATGCTTCTGCTCCTCCGCAACATCAAGTGCTTTGGGTCCCTGATGGTAATGATCTCATCGATCAAACTTACATTGAACAGTTCTACTGCGGTCAGTCGAACCCTGATAATAAATACGTGGGTAATGAGTCAAACCAAATAAATGGTGTCAGGAATAGAAATTGGAAACAGTGATAAACTTTTGCCTTGAAACTTAGTTTGTAAACGTGTGTCGACTGAAATCTAAAAATTATTTCAGTCCTGCGTGCTTAACCCTTAAGTTATGATTTTTGTTATTTGTTTTCATTTTACCAAAGTTGAGTTCCGTAAAGCTTGGTATACGTATGAATCATTCGGATTATGAATTTTTGTTGCGTCTGATACATTATCTGACATAGAATAGGAACGCGTTTATCTGATTTCCTATTTAGAGGCAAAGCTCACTCGGGTTGTCAAACATCTGGTCTGAGACATCGCCTATTGTGATACGAGTTAATGGTCCTATACAAATTGTATTGTTTATTTGCTTCGGAAGGTAGTTATTTGTACTAAATTTCCAGCTCATTGCTCTTGTTTATTATTTCTTTGTAGCTATAATTATAGAATGGTTTATATAAAGCATTCGTATGATAGTTTCACTTGTTGCGCTACTGAAGTAGTTGAGTGTATATCTTGACGTGGCTCAGGCTCTTTTTTGTATCTCTGTCGTTCTCGAGTTGCCTGTATAGCGCCGAGACCAATGCTACAAGTATAAGTTGCGGATGAAAATTAGTTGGAAAGGATGAAATTTTCTTCGTTCGTTGAGGAGTAATTTTTCTAAAATTTTATTATCGGGTGTAACGAAGATGATCATGCAGTTGTTTGTTTTCGTAGCTTAATTTTAGCGTTATTTTGTCATTGTAGATGGAAATGTTTGCAAAGTTGAGCTTGTTATTGTTCACCTATTGAAGCGAGCTCGACTTGCCAGTCGCGTCTACTATATCGCACGTATTTCAGACCGGTTCAGCATCGATTTTATTTGAATCTTAGTTTGATTTGTTGCTCATGAGCTGAAAACTTTACTCACGGATTTATAGTACAACAAGCGACGCATTTGAGATGATATCTTTACTTCTATAATTTATAATTTCTTTGCTTCATGTTCATAATTTCTTTAACCTTTAAAACGTCCGAAGACGATAAGATATCTGTACTTCTATAATTTATAATTTCTTTGTTTCACTTTCATAATTTCTTTAACCTTCTTAAAACGTCCGAGAGCGTAGAATATGGCAAGTTTGAAAAATGATTGGTCCCGCCGTTTAAATGATGGTTCTGTGAATTATATTTTCTAAGATTCATTTCACCACCATCGTGTAATCATCTTTCAGAAATTGAACTGCTTAGATCTCTGCAATTATGATTTTTGGTGAGCGATACGTGATTACCATTGGTCAATCTACCGAGGGGAACTTAATCATAAGTTTGAAGTGTTAAATTACATGGAAAAAACGCACAATTTTCTTTATTTTTATTAATGTCATAAATGATGAAAATTCGGTTGCGTCAACAGGTTCAATATGCCAGCAAGTATCTTACTCCTTATTGCAATAGTTATCTCTGTTAGACATGCTGGAAGTTGATGCTAAGTGGCCGGTGATAGTCGATGAACAGTGATTATTTAAACAATACATTACCAAATTAATTATAACCAAGGGTTTTGCTCTGCAGACGGTTTTGCACGAAAGTCACAAGAACGCTCGAGCTTTATCTTTCGTTAGGGTACGCACACAGTGAAAGCAGGTTGCAAGCGTGCTGGTTACCTGCTCAGGCTGGCGCCTGAAACCATAGAATACAGAAGCCTATTCGTACAGGTTTTCACTGTGAACACTTACATTATTATCCTATGTTCATTCTTGTGGCATGTACGAGCAGGTTGCCCGCGTGGGCAAACCTGCTTTCATTCTGTTCGTACCCTTACTATGAGGTTTCCGCGTAATGATCGCGTTACTTTTTGCGGCGTCAGCGTTGATTAGGCCTTCGAACCTGTAGCCGATTCTGAACATCGTAGAATTTTCACAGCTTATTGCACGTCTTGAACTTACAACTCACTGGTATATTTCCCTGCGCTCAACCGCCCGGCCACCGTTCCGAGTTCGACCAGCACTGTCACGGATAGCTGTGATCGTACACACAACTCACTGCTCCAATCTTAGTACTCAGAACTGTAACCACTGGCTTACCTCGCCCAGTTCGGTCGTTCGTTATTGACCAGCATTTGAAATCCTTTTCGCGGCAAATTCGGATCAAAGACTTGATCCGATCATTTCTAAGCCGTGGACAGAATCAACCTGATGCCGATTGTCCTGGAATCTTGTTCCGCCGCTGCAATTCTACAAACTAGCTACTTAAATAATGAAAGCTTACAATCACTACTTATAAATAAAAATTATCAGCACCAAAGTAATCCGATAGGGCGTCAGCATAAAGGACGGAAACTTGATAACAAATAGAACTACTACGCTGAGATGCTGTTCGTATTTTCGGAATGCCAGCACCAAGTTATTTACATTTTATTTGTTTCAATAAATGACATACGCATACCAAATGAAAATTTAACGATTCAGTGCCTGCATCAGGCGTTATAAATTTTTTAAATTACGCTGCTTGCAAATTTCTCCGAAATAACTGTTAATTTTTCTTCTACATAGTGAGTAAACTGTAACCTTCGAGACGAATGAAAAATATTTTGCATCAAAACACTTTTCTGATCCTCGATGAGAAAAGTCGAGAGCAACTCAGAAAAGAGAACCTTGGACATTTCAATCTAAGAACAAAATAGAACGTAATTCTAGCATAAAATTATATTTAAATGTCAGTATAACAAAAAACATCTAGCACCTCTTTAGAATCAATGCAAGTTTGGAAGAGGCTATAACCCAACATATTGTTAGTGTAGTCAAACTTAAAGCAAAGAAATAACCAAAAAATATTTCAACACCCTAAAAAATAAATACAATGCGTAAAAAGCTCAAATTGTTACGACTTTCAATATTTCGATCACACTATTGACGAGGCTCCGTAAGTGAGCACCACGTTTGATCGTCAAGTTCAGGGGCCATACTTTCAAAATTCGTCAAGTGAACGTAAGTACTTTACTACTTACGCTCTATTTTCTTACCTATGATTAGTGGATTCTGATTGAAAGGCCGTCAATGATTGGCTGACGAACTTACGATCTGTTAACTTTAGTTGAAAGTATGGGCCCAGCTCTGTAAGTGTTATGGGCGTAGTCCATATATACGACACATCCGTCATCATCCTTATCATTAGAAGACAACCTTCAACACAGGATAGTAACGTCGCTTTACGAGCCGTTGATTCATATCCATCAGAAGTTGTGAAATCAGTCTGTAGAAGTGACCGCCCACTGCATCCCTAGTTCAAGCTCGAACTGTGGAGTGAGCTTGCACGCTGTAACCGCATCGTGTAGTATGAAGTTACAACCAATAGAACTTTATATGGCGAGGCAATGAAATGTTTTTCAATGCGAAATTGCAACAACCACGGGCAACTATAATAGATAACAATAAACATTAACACTACAGTGGAGAAATGCTTCGATGTAAGACATGGAGAATTTACCTTAAATAAATAACTTTGTGCACAAAATATTTGTAAACAAAATTCATCACAGATCCTAGTCAGGGACTTGAATCACGGGTTTTCAAAAGCACATCGCTAGCTGTGAAACTTAACGAGCTGTGAAACTTAATAATAAACAGACAAGTGAACGGCTCAGTCAGTAGCAGTTTGTGCCAAGCCTATAAAAGTGACGAGAGAAGCTGTTGTACTGTGGAAAGTTTCATCATAACGCACCAAGTTTATCATGGCTGCTGTTAAGCTGCACCTCAATGCATTTCTGCATACAAGCACCAATAACGAAATAATTAGTCTTATAAAAACAGCACCAATGAGGGAAATGAAGTGGACAGGACGGCGCTACATTGTAGCATACATGTGGCGACTAATCAATAACGTACTTGAAGAAACAAACAATAGGCGCTCACCAGAATATTTTGTTTCTGGCAGCTTGCACGTACAAAGACCCTAAAACACGCACAGCGAACGTCTTAAAGCTGAGTCAACTATTCAAATAAGTTCTTACAGTACCAAATGAAGCTGTAATTAAACAAAGTTGATAATTTAATTCAGAAAAGCAGTAATCTATCAACGGTTTCACTTTATATACTAAACAAAGTACGCTAAGAGTCAGCTCAGCATATAAATACTATCGTAATGCACCTGTCGAGGAATGTTGTGGGAATGTATGACTATGTCATCAATGAAGATAAATGGCACCCGTGAAATGTCATTTGTAACAACTACGCGCCTACCGTGGAAAAAGCTGCTAAACTTGCTGGCACTATCCCAATACACTCAAGTTCAGCTCTAGCATGGGCATAGGAGTAAGCGTAAGTTCCTTCCACACATAGCGAAAGGCACTTCAAAACCTGGCGTGCGCACGTACACCTCTAAGATGTTCGGGCATTACACGTAAAGCATGATTATTATAACCTTCTTAATCTGATTCTTATATAACAGTAACAATGAAACCCTTTCACCATCATTACATTTGAATGAGAGAGCAAAAACAGCTCCAGCGGGATCAGTTCAACTCCATATCCATCAATGTTTGCAATCTATTTCCAACACGCAAACAAAAATTATTCATAAAAACAACAAAAAAGAGAGAGCATGGAACCAACAATTATTGCATCTGCATCATATTTCCAACACGTAAAATATTGCACATTTGGAAATAAATGTTACGATTACCAAAACAGACACGACTCCGATTTAAGACGAGGAAACGATTTGCATCAACGTACACGTGAAGTTATGCACATCACCATTTTCACATTCCCTGCATCATGAAAATTTAGCTTATACTGCGAAACGCGCTGAAAAAAGTACTTTTGCAGGGTCATCTCCCGTTAAAATAATTCCTTTTCAGCATGTTAAGATTATCCTGAGCTGACTTCAGCTTCGGGTTCAGTTTGAGTGTGTGCTTGTACGTCTTCTCTGCATCGTTGTATTTTTTCCATCTGAAGCGAAAACATTAAATTTTATAATACACAAGCAATTTGTTGTCTCTAACAGGATGGAAAAACAAAAAGTTGAATGCCCACTGCCTTGAGCGAACACTAACAATGATTATTTTACATGCCTCGCTCCGATGATAGGTGGCATATATATCATTTTAACGTACACGATGAAATGATTGTTAAGACATTCTGCTCATCATAAACAATGAAATATGTTGATTGTGACCATCATTCATAGGACGGTTTGGGAATAATTTTTTTCACTTAATATATATTAGATTGACAATGACCGCAAAATCTCTCACATTTAATCCAAATATGCACATAAATTACAAACTTCAGGCTTTTAATTCGAAATACTGTCACGTTGCATTCCTCCGAGAGGAAATTCAGAAGGCATCCACGTGATTCCCTCTTTGTTTTGCAGAGAATTGCATCAAGATTTAAAAAATATCGGTATTGCATTGCATCAGATTGCATGTTGCATAGTATATATGTTCATTCATGTTATTAGTAAAAACTAAAGAACATAAAATAAAGAAAATGCAATATATTAACATTTTTTCAGCCACATACCTGTGATAAAGAACGCCCAAGTTAGACCAGTAGTTAGCGTTGCCAGGATCCAGGCGAGTGGCAGCAAGAAAGTGAACTTCAGATTCCTTGTAGCGGCCCAGTTTGCCCAACGTGTTGGCCAGGTTAAAGTGAATGGAAGCTTCGTCTGGGAGATGTCTGATCAAACGAAGCATGGCTAGGTCATTACCTCAAGTTTATATGTAGACGCTACGATAGTGAGCAATGTACAAATTATCAATATATTCACAAATTATATGATTGTAGTAAATATTCAAGCTACCGTCACATAATTTTTACATGAAATTGGCAAATTGGCTTTAAGAAACTACATGCAATCAGCGAATAAAGTAAACTCGAGTGTTCAGGAACACAATGCCATCAGTCAGTTCTACGATAATCGTAGATAACCTCCTATGGTCACGCCATCCACAAAAATTCATAAGACTACAAAATGATTTGTTGAACAAGAACACATTTCCTAAAAACAAGGAACCTACTCATGTTGCTCATCTTAGCTGTACATAGTTTCCGCACTTCAAACTGTAAAAAAATAGATTCCCCAGAAAAAAGCCTTACAGGAAGGTACCGTATATGCGTTTCAATGTGAACAACCTGGATTCTACTCATGAACTACTTCTTGAACATCATGGATAACACTTGAATTATGTGAGGCTCACATCACACTTGAATTATGTGAGGCTCACATCACACCTGAATTATGTGAGGCTCACATCACACTTGAATTATGTGAGGCTCACATCACACCTGAATTATGCGAGGCTCACATCACACCTGAATTATGTGAGGCACACATCACACCTGAATTATGCGAGGCTCACATCACACGTGAATCATGTGAGACTCACATCACACCTGAATCATGTGAGGCTCACATCACACCTGAATTATGTGAGGCTCTCATCACACCTGAATTATGTGAGGCTCACATCACACCTGAATTATGTGAGACTCACATCACACCTGAACTATGTGAGGCTCACTTGAGGGCAACGTGAGCGGTGGTGACCGCAGTTTCGTACTGCTGGCGGGAGTCGAGGAGGATGAGGGTGTTGATCCAGGCCCTGGACAAGGTCGGCTTCAGCGCCGTAGCGTTGCGCCACGCAGACAGAGCATCGTCACTCATGTTGCGCTCCAAGTAGAGGTTGCCCAAATTGTACAGGCAGTCGGGGTAAACCTGTCATTTTCAAAGTTAAACTTCAAACAATCACTTTTAGCTTCAATCAAATTTTCTATAAATCAAATCTTAATTGATAGCTCCTATTAGCTCCGAGGTATTACTAAAGTTAATTTATTTCACTCAAGAATTAGGTGAATGCACAAGATACAGCACCCAACAAAAGAGAAGGTACCTTTTCCCTTAAGTGAAATCTTTCCACCTTTTCACTTTCCAATATAGCTGGTCCGACATACCGGACGGTGCTGCAGGGCCAGCGTGTAGCTCTCGTGCGCGGCCTCCTTGAGACCAAGCGACGCCTGCACGATGCCGAGGTTCATCCACGCCGCCGCGAAGTCCGGCCGCAGCGACGTTGCGTTGCGCAGCAGGGCTTCAGCCTCCCTCAGTGAACCCTTATCCTGAAAATGTGTTACATTCAGAATGTTGATTGTAGGTAGTATAAATACATGGATATTTAATGCTACCAACTAATGACTGTATTAAACTGCATCACGCAGCTGCTGAGTAATTGTGAAGACGAGGGATTATTTATGTTGCTGATGGGCCACTATGGTAGAGGACACTCGCTTTGTGAAGGTGTTTAACATACTTGTTACTCGCCTATTTTATTGCGGCTGCGTGACGAAATACATCACACAGTAATGTATGTACAATACGCTACATACATCACGCAGTAATGTATGTAGCGTGTATGTCTGAATGTAAGCCTGAATGCAAGTATAATGCTGAGTCATAAGAGAAGAGGGCTCTTGCCTTAAGGATGTTGGCGAGGTTGTTCATGGCCTGGTCGTACAGAGGGTTGAGTCTGATGGCCTCCCTATAGCGAGCCACCGCCTCCACTTCGTCCCCAGCATCACCCGCCACTTTACCCAGGTTGTAGTGCACCTGACGGCATCCATCAAGAGGATCATACGAGTCCACCAGACACAATCCAGCTTGCGCTATGTATATGAATTACAATAATAACCAAAGTGAGTGTGTGTACAAATGACGTATAAAAGCAATTTGCTACGATCTTCATGATAGGTATATGTGAATTGATAAACAAATATTTAGTAGTAAATAGGTTGTTGGACAATGATTTTTGTGCTGTTACTAGATAAAAATTTGTACTAAGAAGAAGCCTCACATTGTCACACTTGAATTTTTTTAAAAGTAGAAAACCTGTGAGAAATAAAAGCATTATTAAAAAATAGTGAAAATTAAAAGGCAACTTAATAAATACACGATGTGTTTGTCTGACTTATAAATGGGCATATTTCATGAATTAATACCATTTTTTTACCGGTAAGTAAGTGGAAGCGTAAGGCTGCCTGAGTCAAGTTTTATGAATGCACAGAAAGAAATGAGTGGGGGTACGTTAGTATACAGTAGCCTGATGATGTTTTAATAGCTGATAGAAGATGCTCACCTTAGCGTTGAGGGGACAGACTTGGAGGCCGCTTTTAAAGAGCTGTAGTTCGGAGCACCAGTCAGCGGTGCGCTGCCTGCATCGCAGCACAAACACCGACACCAGCAGCCAGTACAGCACGCCTACGATGCGCTGAATAACGCAGTGCAAATTAGCTACACCGAAGAGCCAAGTTATAGCATATTTCATCCCACTCCTCGCCTCGCTTATTGTGTAGACTTTCATTGTTCAATGAGTCTTACGATTTGGTCATCGAGACAAGATTAATACTTAGCAATGATTTGTAAATGTTTAAATTTATAAAATAAACGAAAATCATTAAAAAGATGAGAATTATTGCGCAGTGCTTGATCTTGAATGTTCTCTTTGTTGGCGTTCATATCGTTGAACGTCTTGTTGTCTATCACGTTGTGTCACGGCTAAGTCACAGACGTAGCAAAGGCAGCCGTATATGTGGCAAAATCATGGCCATTACTCGTAGATTTTTGACGAGGTTATATCGGAGTCGAGATAATATTGTACGAATGACTCGCAGTTTCACGCAACTATTATTTCAGACCTCGCCGGCCGGGGCAGTCACCTACTACGTCTGCGGAGATAGCTGCAGACCGTACTGGCGTGACGGTCACCACAGTAGAAATACTTTTTAGCGCGAATTTTAGGGTCCTTATATAGGCAGACGTCGCGCACACATAAGCCTACAAAGGGACGCCGCGACAGTTTCGAGTTCCACAAGGGTCAGCCTTTTCGATAACCTTGGTCTTTCCGAACTAGTATAAACAAACTCGCTCTCACGGCTTTCTACCCCAACTTTGTGGCCTAGTAACATCCTGCACATAATTGCTTAATATCGCTCGGGCCTTCACAACTTTACATTAATAAACTAAACTAAAGTCAGAATTACCTACGCTTCATTCAAATCAATAACATAAATTGAATGGAATTGAATTTAATATGAAAATCGTACCTTGTAGACTTGGCCACTAAGGCTGAGCTGCTTCATGCCAATAACAACAAGGCAGCTGAGGCCGGCGGCTGGGATGTAGAGGACGCGTTCCGCGATCACGAAGCCCACTCTGAAGAAGAGGTTCGTGGCCGGCAAGAAGGGCACCACACCAAGGGCTAGGCACATCAGCACGTACCTGCGCCATCATAATCATCAGCATGACAGATCTGCATAAAATCATCAAATTAATTTCACTAGAAAATTCCAATTTTCAACCAAATCCTCTGAATTATAAAATATCATGTATCTTATATCTCTCCTTCAGGAAAAACGTTTAAATTCCACAGTTAAATTCATTTTATGAAAAAACTACGTCTGGAAATATTCTTGATACCTAAATAAAAGCTTCATCTGAAAGATGCTATGTCTCCTGATGGTGTCTGGAGCTCGTCTCAACTAACCTGGCAGTGGCGTCCCTGCCACAGACTCCCCTCCAGACGAGCAGCGCGAGCGCCACCCACAGCAGCGGCACCATCAGCGCCCGTACGTCCGTCAGGCTCTCGATGAGAGGGATGCATCCCATGGACCAGTCAAAGCAGAGCCACAGCGGCAGTAGCAGCAGTATCACGTTTAGCAAGTAAATGTACTGATAATTCAACACCTGCGCACAAGACATCAATGGTACAACAGGTTCGATAGCAGTGAGACATCTGGATAGAGTATGGCCTATTATCAAAACTCTTAGTGATAACATTGGATATTGAATAACTTTGGTATAGCCACAGCATGAGGTTTTGAAATAAATTTCAACTAAACTAGTTGAATTGTAACAGCAAAAATATAAAACACAAAAATGCAACTTAAAAGAATAGACCCACCCGATAAACAAGGCTGTCCATAAAAGATGCAGGATTATCAACCTCCATGAAGCGAGGCACAGCAGAACCCATGATGAGGAATCTCCACAGAAGGAGGCTCATGCCAACCACGAGTAGGAAAATGTGTCGTCGCAACAGACAACCTAAGAAAAGATGAGTCTAATTAAACTAATAAAAATAATTCTACCTAACAGATAATCTTGTCCATAGGCATTCAGTTCAAATTTTATACCAAGAAGATAAAAATAATTATGATTCGTCACTGGTTATTAAAATATGACTGATCAATATTTATTTAATGGTTAATTCATATACACCACCACTGACCATTCGACTTCCGCAGACACCATCTTCTGTGTGGCCCTAAAGGTAGCACACACAACAGCCCGCCACCCGCCTCACTGCAGGAGACGACAAGTACATCATAAGCACTGCACAATCCAAGTGCTGTGATGCCAACTTCTTTGCACAGCATGGCAACTGTGGTGCTCATCGCACAGAGTGCTAGCCACGATCGAGCTCTGCAGTGCTTTCCTTTGCTTATTCCAGAACGCGTGTTTAAAAGATCCCCATTAAGTGAGCTCACAGCTGGGCTTCCTCGTGATTTTCTATTTGATTCAAATCCTTTACTAGCACCGGGACTTAGTGATCCATCAGAATAGTGTAAGTCTTCTTTTATTGCTCTGATGTATGCAAGTACAGCGCAGAATACAAAAAAAGCGCAAAGCAAGTCAGCCCTTCCTACGATTCCTGCCACAGCTTCTGTGTGGATTGGATGAGTGGCAAAGAGGACACCAGCTAGCAGTGCACATTGCCGTGAACCATAGAGCACGTGCATGAAAACATGAAGAGCTGCAATGCTGACCAGGCAGTGCAGCGCCACATTGAAGGCATGATAAGAGCCCGGTGACAAGCCAGACACCAGGTGGTTCAGCCTGTAAAATAAAGAACTTCTTAGCATCCTAATACTGGATGAAAAGTTGGTCGTTCATGCATGCAAAATGCATCCCATCATGATTTGCACTTTCGGCCAAATCTGCGTCCACTAACTTTATCAATTCAGTTCCAAAAAAATGAGATAAGAGGGAAAAATTTGTCTTTATGGAGCTGATTATACAATGATTTCATAAAAATTACCTCAAGATTATAGAATGTGGTAGAATTATGTTCAGTTCAGAAAATTTTGGAAGAAGAAGACCTTAATTAAACTAATTCAAATTCATATTTAAAGAAAAAATGTTAAGAAAGAGTAAGAAAACAATAATCCTACTTTTGTGTCAGTTATTAGTATTTTTTCACAGAATAATTTTTGAAAGCTGAATAATGAAAAATCACTAAATTAACAAAATTAGTACGAAAATGTATCAGATTTGGAGGTGAATTGAACAAACTAAAACCGTGCCAAAGAATTGGAACAGAAAGTATGATATTTAATTAATGCAGTATTTGACAAACCACAAAAATTAATGCACCAAAGGAAATTAAATAAATAATTGCACAAGATTATAATTTTAAATGTAGAGTGAAGTAAATGTTCTTATATAGTTATCCACTCAGCAATATGTTTCCTGACCAATTACACACATTGAATTCAAATAAATATACAACTTTAGCTTCAGATGACTCTAGCTCTGGAAAAAATTGGATTGTTCAACTTAAGTATTAATTAACATGAAAATTCATTGTTAAGATTTATTGCATGAAACATGATTGAAATATAGAAGATCTCTATATAATACTGAATGAGAGGATCTATTTATCTACAATGGGTGATCACCTAAATGAGAGAACAGTGAGAGGTCTGTAGGACTTGTGGCTGGACGGATGAGTGAGTTTGGTGCCCCAGAAGTCATTAGCAAAGACATCAGCAACAGGCGACTGCCATCGGATGTCCATATTATTGATGATGGCTTCTGAGTCATCGAAGACAAACTCCCCTTGAATGCAGCCCACAAAGCTCACCAAAGCAAAGAGGCTCACAATCAGTGATGCAGCATAGCAGGAAACTCCTGAAAAAAGCATACTTGATTAATGATTACAATTATGAATTTGTCTTAATTTTAAGTAGCAAGTTTGTAAACAGGCAGTCTACAAGCTCAAATAAAAAAAACAATGTCTGATGCAGGTAGTAATGAATTTTGAAAACACTATGAAAATGAACTAAGATATGGTGGTTATTGATCTAACTTCATGTATTGAGGTGCACAAGCCATAACAGGTTATCAGTAACATGGAATGGACAAGTGAAAAATATGTCAAAATGTACAAAATTTAAACGCAAGATTGCATTTTTCAATCTTTTTCTAACTGAGACCAGAATGCTGGAGATTTACTAATAACAATGCAAATATTTTTATTGGGAAAGAATGGATAAGTAATGTTTGAAAAAATAGCAGAGGAGACTGACCACTGTTACAGCTGTCTCTTCAGTGTAATAACTTAAATAAACAACATTTGGTAGAACAATCAATCCGAGAATAATGCATGCATAATGCAGCCTTGCAACATTTGGATATTTTATATAATATGCATGCTTTGGTAAGGAGGAAAAAGTTGTTGATGCCCAAAATGAATTTTATAAAAAATAAAAAAATTTCACTAGAGAATATTCTGAAAACATGTAAAGACTTCATTGTAAATACCTACAATAATTAAAATTTCAGGAACTAAAGATAATATAAATTAGTTAATAAATTGTTATGGCAATTGGTTGTTATTGTTGTAAAATTTTTCACATGTTACTGCATAGCAAAGATTTTTTACTTGATTTTCACATTTTGAACCAACATTGGTTCAAAAAGTTCTTTTTTATTCTGTTCCAATAACCATTGAAAGTGATCAATCAAATATTTTCAAGACATTCCTGACATCATTCAGCATCTAAATACAATTTTAGAAACATCACTTTTTCAGGGAAGATTAATTTCTGTCATATGGGGTAATAAAGGGCGCTTTCTTTATTTTTCTTTGATAACTTCTTACCATGAAGCATTTCATAAGCAAATTTGGGCTCATTTTAAAGGTCTTTGCAATGGCTACTGAAAAATTTCATATGTCCAAAAAAATTCCATATGCTATGTGTAAGGTGCCAGGAGAAAAAAAACATACCAAATCACCCCTGGGAACAGGGTAATCTGGGACACTTGAAATAAAACTTAATTTTAAAATGTTTGAAGCAAGCAGACAGCAGAGTGCACTCATTCATTACTAATAGTACCATACTCCGATGTTCTCCTCTTCATTTGTAGATGATGTAGATGTAGAATAAATGACATTTTCTGTTATTTGTACATGTTTTTCCTTTATTGATGGTATTACTGTATTCATTTTTCATTGCCAAAAAAGATTTTTCAGTTCTATACCCAACACTTTTAAAACCTCCTTAAAAAACTTCCATGCCATTCACAATGACCTTGTTCAAAGCAAGCTTCATATCATGAGCCGTATAGTATTTCCTCTGTAAGCTTACTGGACTGGGCTTGTAATTTTGCACCATTGTAATTAGGTCAAGTGAATTAATTATAAATCAAGATTGTAAAAACATACCTCAAAGATAGAGGTACATTTTAGTGACAACCATCACATTTTTTGGAGAGATAAATCATTAGTATCTCTTCAAATTAATTAATTAATTTTTCATTTGTGAAGTTATTTTGGCTAATAGAGGTCAAGTTAATCAAAATTATTTGTCATTAACCAATCTTTTTGTTGACTGGAGCCTTTGCTAAGCAAGGCTTTACAGGTTCTACCATCAAACAGGGCAATAAGGGACGGTTTTGAGCATTTTTAGCGCATTTTCTCATTCATGGAAAAAATGCACTATTGTGCTTGCCATGTCCGTCTGTCCAAGACTTCACATTTTGGTTGACTTTAAGAATACTCTGGGATGTGTCCTGATTTAGATTATAGTTTTAAATTGGTCGAAGATTGGCCTTTCCAAAAAAATGTAAGGTAACCCAGGTCTTGATCTCAGCCATCATAAATAATTGACATAATAAATAAATAATACACGCACCAAAATTCCTAGCGCATTTTCTCATTTATGGAATAAATGCACTATTGTGCTCGCCATGTTAGTCTGTCCGTCCATCCGTCCGTGACTACACGTTTTTGTTGACAAGAAAATGGGCTCTCTGTCACTCACTGCAGTGAGTACCGAGTTGTATTTTTACAACACTTCTCTTTAACTTCACTTCTTGTCTGTCTGTCTGTCTGCTACAAATCTTGTAATCGAAATACACTTCTACTTATCCTATCGACCTGAAATTTTGCACACTTGTGTAAAGTTGGAGACAATGCATGAATCAAATGTCAAAATAAAAGATTTTAAAAATTAAAAAAAAATATTTTTTTTTAATATTAAAAAAATTGGAAAAATAATTTTGCCAGCTACAAATCTTATAGGTAACTGATATTTGACACACTTTTACCTGTCTGATTGATCTGAAATTTTGCACACTTGTGTGAAGTCAGAGGCAAAACATGAATCAATTAACAGAATAAATAATTTTGAAAAAATTATATATTAAAAAATTTATATTTAAAAAAAATTGAAAAACTAAATTTTTAATTTGAAAATTAAATGAGAAATTCGTTGTACATTTGTGAGATTGGAGACACTGGATTCTTTGGAAGTGTTGTCTTTAAAAATTAATTTTTAAACGCATATTATTTGTTAGTAACTTCTTACCATGAAACATAGCATAAACAAATTGGGGCTCATTTTGAAGGTCTTTGCATGGGCTCTTGTAAGGCATCTTTGAAAAAATTCTATATGCTATATGTAAGGTGCCACATGCATAACAAAAGCTTCCTTAATTACCCCTGGAACAGGGCAATAAGAGACACTTGAAATTAAACTTAATTTTAAAAAATTGAAAGCATGCAAAGTGTACTCATCCATTACTAACAGTATTCAGAAGTCCTTCTTATTTGTAGATGATGTAGTACTTGTGGAATAAATGACATTTTTGTGATTCTTGCTCATTTCTCATTCTCCTTTATTGATATGACATTACCATATCATACCACATTACTGTATTATTGATGTGATATTACTGTATCCATGGACATGCCATTGAGCATTGACAATGACCTTGGCCACTGCAAGCTCCATATCAGCAGCCATATAGCATATCTTCTGCATCTGTGCACTTACAGGGTGGCTTTAAATTTTTAATTTTGTCAAGTGAATTTACAATAACAAAAAAAAAAAAACAGGTTGCAAAAAACATTTGTATGTGAAACAGAAAGGAATATTTAAGTGACAACCATCATATTTATTGGAGAAATAAATAATAGATTTGGTTAATTACTTATCATTCTATGTTGCCTGATGCACAATTCTATCTATGACATTTTAATCTACGCACAATTTTGTGATGACCGACGATGCAATATTTTTTGTCAAGTTAAATTTTTTTCACTGAGCAAGGAAAATGTTATTTGTTGTTAGGTAATTGATTTTTTTGTTGACAGGAGCCTTTGCTAAACAAGATTTTACTGTAAATGTGTTTTTAGGGGTATCCCTTATTGCCCCATCATGCAGAAAGGGCCACAATTTTTTTTTGAATGAGCTATGCAAATTCTGTCAATCACATTTTTAAGCCAACACCTGTGTGCAACTTTTATCTATGTAAATAAAAATTTTTAATACAACAAATATTTTTTTTTTCTACAGACCTTAGCAGAGGTACTCTTCAGACCTTAGGCACTATTTTTAGCCTTGCAATATTTTGATTAGTTTAGCTGTTACATTTCTACAAAATATGACACGACTGTTCCAATTTACCCTTCCTGTCCCTAATCACCCCATTTGACAGTAGAACATAATAAAACAAACTTCAAAAATACTTATCATCAGCCATCTGGGTCTTGGTCTAGTAAAAAAATACAATGTGAATGTGAATTATGAATCAATAAGATAAATGCTTCTGAACGTGAGTTAGGTAAAAAATTAGTTTGCCACCATGAGGGTCATGGAATGGTCAACGCAATGCAATAAAACCAATCCAACTCAATTGGAATGTTGAAACAAAATGTGTACAAAGCTTTAAACAAGATGCAAGGAGTAACAATAAACTAGATCTCACCACAGAATACAGAATGGCCACATCTCCATTATTTAAAAACAAGGAAGTGTCAGTTAAATGTCCACAGCTGTCAATCAAGCATCAGCAGCATCAAGAGAGTGGTCAACATCAAAGTATATATTACATACGCAGTAGTTAAGACAATGGCACGTTCTAAATGTACCAAAATTTACCAAATTATAGGTAAGAAAGCAAATTTCTGAAAAATAAATCAATTCTGTTGCAGGACCTAGACCTCCTGAATCCATTCTCATATAATCAAGACCAATTCTGTCCTGAAAATGAAAATAAGTACATCTTTCAGGGAAGTTTAATTTCCAGTTGTGCTGCCCAATTTACCACTTTGGATCAAGGTCTATAAAAATGAGTAAAATTCCAGGGTGCAGAGAGTGAGTGAATATTGCAAGATCTTTAGCAATCCATCAGTAGCAAAATTTTTGCCTTCAGAAAATCTTGCTGACACATTTGGATTAAAATTATTGCATTTTAGATATTCGCCAGTCTTCAGCCAACTATTTAGAAAATAGTTTAAAATCTGAAAGACCGCAAGGGCACACAGTAAGGTTTCCGGTATGTTGGATGGATCAGGATGCAGTGAAGCTTGTCCAGAAATCAGTTGCCATGAGTGTAAATGTTGCAGTGCGTGGAGATTAAGGGATATACTATCAACATTGTTAGCAACATTTTCTTATTAAATATTACCTGGCAATGCATCTTGAAAATGGCTGGCTATGTTTTGGGCTAAAAATCGATATATTGGCAATGCAGCTTGCAAACTCTGCACCCCGGGTGAAATTGACTGCAAGTAAGGGTGTCCTAATCTTATTTACTGCATTTGCTAAATTAGGCCCCTGCCAAATTTTCCTAGATTGTTCCAAAAATACTGTCAATTTGTCAAAGTCAAACCAGAGATTTTATAGCATCAGTTCATTTTTAATTTCCTAATTTTTTTAATATTTAAACCAATATCTTAGGAATAAAAAAGCTGGTATCCAATCCATGATATTTTACTTCACTAGTCTTGTTAGAGCCTTATAGTTATAGGACTATCCAACTCAAAAGTGAACTAGAGAAAGAGTCAAAAAAATTATTTGCTTTGACAGTATGTGACAAAGCATTGAAAGATAAATCTAGTTTGAAAGTTTTAGATAAAACATAATATCAGATCATCAACACTTGTTCATATATTGCTACTACTAAATTCCACTTTCATGTTCAATCAATATCAAACATTAGATCTAAGTCAACTTACCAGAAATATCAGGATAGAAGAGTGCTTTCTTCTCTGAAGAACAGGCTGCAAGCTTTAATGGACTTCTTGATAAATTACCATTACCTGAAGAGACTAATGTAACTGCCATTCTTGTGGATCCCAATCATGACCCTCACAGTCTCAGTCAGATTGTTGAAATGAGAATATAACTTTACCAATTTAAAATTTTCTTTTAATAAAAACAATGCATTATAAAATGGAAACCTAAAAATAATCTGTAAGATTGTACAATGTACAGTAACTAGTAAGAACTAAGAACAAGAAGGAATGTTCTAACTTCTAATGAGTAACAATATCAAACCTGAAATATAGCAAAAATAATATACAACTAAAACTTAAAAGGAGCACCAACAAGAAAAAAATGAAGATTGCATTAGCATATGCCATATGGCAGGATAATTGGTCACTCATGGTGCCCTGCAGCCCTGGCAAGTGGCAGGCCCAGGCTGGCATTAGGCATTGGCATGCAATGACGGCCCCTACCTTGGCAAGCAAATAATTTTTAGTATTAGATTCATTATATTTGAGCAGAAGGGTTGCCATGTTGAGTCCTTGAGATATATTTGCGGTTCGTGAGGGTGAGGGACCGATAGTGAGAAGAAAAAAAAAAAAAAAAATATGGCACTAGAGTACAGACTGACAATATAAACACAATAGGCTACTCGTATTAATTATTCCAATAGTTGTTTTGTATGTAGTGCATGGCTGCCTACAGGTCTGAGCTATGATCCACTACATACTCTACTTGAGCCATAGCTCAAACTTTCGAAGCATTAAAAAACGCACTGTTTTTTTTTTATAGTTGGTTTTGGAGGCTTCCAGTGCTTGTGCACTGCCCAGCCTGGTCTCTGTCACTCATTTGATGAAAGACTATGCACCATGCAAAGGAGCTCAATGCCCTTAGTACCCTATATGCAGCATGCACCCAACATCCAGACATTTGGTCATGTAGCAAGGTTTTCAATATGCAAGTGATACGTATATGCAGCATGCCTTATAATAACATGTACAATGAGTCAAGCTTTATGCTGCAATAAAGCATCCTGACAGCATGTTAAATTGCACAAACATGCCAAAAAAACAAAACAAAACAAAAAAAAAAATAAAAAAATAAAAAAATAAAAAAATATAAAATAAAAATTTTTTTCTTTTGTTCTTTGATTTGAAGGAGAAAGCACCCCCAGTTTTGAGCTACATCAGAGAGACAGCTCCACTTTCCAGCAAATATTGTTGCAAGCATGAAAAGATTTGGTGATGCTGTTTGCTGGTGACTCCCCCACCCAGGGCTGTCTGCAGCCCCCAAGTAAGTCCCTGTGCATTCACTGCACTTCTAAATATTGCTCTTGGGCCACTGAATCTAGCAC